GGCTGGAGGGCGGAGAGGGGTAGAGCTGCTGCAGTGTGCCCATACCTCGTGTTGTCCCACCCCATCATCAGCCAGTCCTATAGCCCATTCTGATGCCAAGAATTAGCCCGTTCTGGTGCCCAGCATTACTTCATTCTGGTGCCCTGAATCAGCCCATTCTGATGCTCAGAATCAGCCCATTCTGGTGTCCAGCATCCGTTTATTCTGGTGCCCGGAATCAGCCCATTCTGATGCTCAGAATCAGCCCATTCTGGTGTCCAGAATCAGCCCGTTCTGGTGCCCAGCATCCGTTTATCCTGGTGCCCAGAATCAGCCCGTTCTGATGCTCAGAATCAGCCCGTTCTGGTGTCCAGCATCCGTTTATCCTGGTGCCCAGAATCAGCCCGTTCTGATGCTCAGAATCAGCCCGTTCTGGTGTCCAGCATCCGTTTATCCTGGTGCCCAGAATCAGCCCGTTCTGATGCTCAGAATCAGCCCGTTCTGGTGTCCAGCATCCGTTTATTCTGGTGTCCAGAATCAGCCCGTTCTGGTGTCCAGCATTAGTTCGTTCTGGTGCCCAGAATCAGCCCGTTCTGGTGCCCAGCATTAGTTCATTCTGGTGCCCTGAACCAGCCCGTACTGGTGTCCAGCATCCGTTTATCCTGGTGCCCAGGATCAGCCCGTTCTGATGCTCAGAATCAGCCCGTTCTGGTGTCCAGCATCCGTTTATTCTGGTGCCCGGAATCAGCCCATTCTGATGCTCAGAATCAGCCCATTCTGGTGTCCGGCATCCGTTTATTCTGGTGCCCAGAACCAGCCCGTTCTGGTGTCCAGCATCCGTTTATCCTGGTGCCCAGAATCAGCCCGTTCTGATGCTCAGAATCAGCCCGTTCTGGTGTCCAGCATCCGTTTATCCTGGTGCCCAGAATCAGCCCGTTCTGATGCTCAGAATCAGCCCGTTCTGGTGTCCAGCATCCATTTATCCTGGTGCCCAGAATCAGCCCGTTCTGATGCTCAGAATCAGCCCGTTCTGGTGTCCAGCATCCGTTTATTCTGGTGTCCAGAATCAGCCCGTTCTGGTGTCCAGCATTAGTTCGTTCTGGTGCCCAGAATCAGCCCGTTCTGGTGCCCAGCATTAGTTCATTCTGGTGCCCTGAACCAGCCCGTACTGGTGTCCAGCATCCGTTTATCCTGGTGCCCAGGATCAGCCCGTTCTGATGCTCAGAATCAGCCCGTTCTGGTGTCCAGCATCCGTTTATTCTGGTGCCCGGAATCAGCCCATTCTGATGCTCAGAATCAGCCCATTCTGGTGTCCGGCATCCGTTTATTCTGGTGCCCAGAACCAGCCCGTTCTGGTGCCCAGCACCACCCCATTTCGGTGCTCAGCTCCAGCCCATTTCAGTGCCCACCATCACCCCATTCCGCTGCCCAGCACCAGCCCGCACCGCGCTCCCCCCTCCTCATTCCCCGGCTTCCGCCCCGTGCCCGACTCGGTGGCGCCGCCTCGCGGTGTGTTTTGGTTTCACCCCAGCCGCCGCTCTCGGGCCCGTTCCCGTTCGGTTTTGCCTCCTGCAGACCCTTGTGCTCCCCTTTGACCGCTGTGTGAGGGGCATCCCCCGAGCACATCCTCCATCCCTCTCTGCACATATCTTACCTTTAGATATGTATGTATATCTATAGTTTGTATTTGATGTTTTATATAGTATATAATTTATCTCTACACATATAGACATACATATATATATTTACATATATATGCACACACACTGTATAGGAGCTGTCCCATTCGTACACCACAGCAGGGTGTTGGCAGCCCCTTGTGCTCCCCAATTATTATTATTATTTTTATTATTACAATATAGTATAATATTATTATTACAATATAGTATTACAATTATATAATAATTATTATATGTAATATATGTATGATGTATAATACTTATATTATTATATATTACAAATAATAATAATAATGAAGAACCCCCCCATATAGTTATTTGTGACCTAAAGGCTTTATGACCTAAAGCTACTGTGGGCAGCACTGCTGGCTGAAGCCTGTGCAGCACCTCCTGACTGTGCTCATTCAAAGCCCACCCAAGGGGAAAACCAACCCCAGGGAGCCGAGAGCTCCTCAAAGCCCAGGATCCATCCCTCTGCTTCCCCTGCTTGGGGCTTATTCCCTTTTCTTTGCCCTCTCCAAAGTGCTGTTTGCCATCAGGTGCCTCTCTCCAGTAGCTCTCATGAGCCCCACCGCACAGCTCCCTTTATCCCGGCACGTCGCAGCCGGAGCCACGTCTCCGTGCGGTGCCTGGCTGGAAATGTCAACCGGATCTTGAAGCACCTCTTAACCTTCACGGGGTTGGAGCAATTCCCCTGCAAGCCCCTGTCTGCAGAGCAGGAGGAGGAGATGCTCTTAACATTCATGGGGGAGAGGGAGCGATAAAATGGATTTGGTCCTAAATTTAGCCTCAAATTTCGAGTTTAAAAATAAACTTCCTGCGAAGTTGTTGGCTTGAAGGTTTATTCTAAAGGCCCAGCAGCTTTCAGCATGGCCCCTGCTCCACTGGGCCAACACGGTGAGTATCACACAACATGCTCAAGTGAGGAAAGTGTTACTAAATACCCTGGAAATTGAAGGGCCAGAGCTTAGTTTAAGACCCCAACCACACCGAGATGCTCCTATTTACCTGAACACCAAATCCTTTTCACACCTTACAGAACCTCTGGTATAGAGATAGGGAGAATTTCTGGCTGCTCTTCTGGATGCAAATGCAGAGCCCCGATTTGTGCCAATTATTGCCACTCTTCGCCAAGATGCAAACCCAGCCATTAATATTAATATCAGGAGAAAAACACAAGAGCAATTTGCTTTCACATCCTTTATTAAACACCCGGCCGGGGTCGCCCCCTCCCCAGGACCAAGGGGTTTAGAGGGTGGTGAAGGAGAAGGGGTTTATCGAGGTTAAATCCTGGTGCGATTTCACCGCTGAGGCCATCTGAGTTAATGCTGTGCACCCGATTGCCTGGAAATGAACTGAAGTGGATTAAATACTCCAGTCATTTTACTGCAATTTGGCCTTGTTGAACATTGGAAGAGCATCCGAAGGTGGCTGATGTCCAACACAAGCCCTGAGGAGCTGATTTCAGCGTGCCCCTCTCCTCATTGACCAGTTCTCTTCAGCCCCTCTCCATCACAAGGCAATGTGCTGCTGGGTTTTGGCACAGAACATCTCGGGGTGATGCTGACCCCTCAGTGTCTGCATCCTTTTAACCCCTACCGTGGTACAGGGAGCTCAGTGTAGGGGGAAAACCAAACACAGCCATTAAATCTGCAAAGAAAACCCTGTTTGGCCCTAAGGGAGAAGCTTTAAAAGGTTGGATCTTACTCTGTTGTATGCCAGAGGCCTTAAGCTTAGTTATGGCTGCAGGGAGCTCTGCTGACACAGAAGTCCCCACTGGCTCATTATTGCTCCAGTAAATAGGTCTAACTACCTGCAAAGACAGAGTGAAGAGTCCTGCAGAAGGGATTCCTCCTGCTGGGGGGACAGATGAAGACGCTACCAAGATGCTACCAGAGATGCTCCGGTGATTGCAGGATGGAGGATTCCGAGGCTCTGTCTCTGCATGGTGGGCAGATGGATGGGTGGTCTGGTTTACCCCCAAATTCTGGAGGAGCACGTGGAATACAAATACATTTCCTAGTATCTGGGCAAAGTGGGAACAGCATGCAAGGTGTTAGCTTGGTGTCTGAAAGGTTTTGACACTCCAGCACATAGAGATGGGGTTTGAGCTGCTGCGTCATTCTGGGATGAAAGCATAGATTGAATTCGATGTGCAATCACTACAGAGGGGAGAAAACCTCCCACAGCTGCACAGGGGTCTCTTCAGAACGGGTCTACAAATGTAATGAAGCCCCTTTATAATTTGGAATGATGTCAATGAGCAGAACTGAGCTCATCACACACACTGGGAGGTCAGCACTTCGAAGGGCACTCACTTCTCAGTCCGACTTTAGCAGCCCTAGGGGCAGAGGGACCAGGTCTCTCTGTTTTCCCTGCAGACAAGGAGGAATTGTGGCTGGACCCATAGCACACAAGCAGCAGTGTTTACAATCAGCCTGTGGTTTAATCAAACCCAGCAACAATTCCCAGTTCTCTCCCCAGCAAACATTCCTGCTTGGTTCCTACGGGAGCGGCTGACTCCCATGGACAGGAGTTTTCACATTGTAAAGCTTAAGGAAAATGCACAAGTGTCTATAAAATGTTAACTCTGGGCTGTAACAAAGCGGGTTTGGGATTGAACAGCTTCAGAGCTTCTGCTGGAAGCATCAGAAGGGGAAGCTTCCTCATGGAAGGGTTTACCCTGCTTTCATGTTTATCCCTCTCAGGATCTACGCAATGTCCACTTCCAGCTGGAGGAACCACCAGAATGATGATGTTCTGCTGTATCAGTGTGGTGCTGTAAAAGGGAAAGATTTCAGTGGTGATGAGGCAATGGAAACAGCTGAGGAAAACAAGTGGCAACACCTTCCTCTTTCCCCAAGGAGCAGAACTGTTATCTCCAAGGACCCATAAGGGGAACAGAAGCCTGGTGCTGGAGGTCAGGAAGCCAGCAGCCTACAAAGAGACAAGCTGAGCACTGCATGGAGCCCAAAGGCTTGTGCCAATCTGCACCAGGGAGAACGCAGGGTGAAGATGTGGCCCTGGCCCTTCTCGTTACTTCTATACCAGGCAGTGTGAAATAAACCCGTGTGCACAAGGGATTCCAGCAGAGCCCAACTCCTGCCATGCACTGGACCATCAGCCTCGGGCTTGTGCCTCCCGTGCTCTTCCCTTTGGGAGTGACAGCGGCAGGGCTGGATCCCAAAAGGGGCAGCTGGGAATGAGGCAGGTCATGGTTTGTGTTTCTCTTTACAGAAGATGTGGTGGGGAAGGGAAAGGAAGGAGGAGCCCGGCAGCACCAGGCTGCTGCTGAGGGGAAAAGGTCGGTTTAAAAGAAAAATCTCACTCCTAGAACAAAAGGCAATATTTCAGTATATTTTAATAGTAAAATGATTCCCATTTTTCAAGCAATGTCCCACCTGGAGGAATCTCAGGAGTGTTTTTGCCTCCCGGTCCTGCTGCCCCGGGGCAAAGTCTCAGAGGTCACAGCTCTCCCTGCGGAACGATCCCAGAACAGAACGATCCCAAACACCTCCCAGGCCTCAAAACCACTTCCACTAAGAGCACGACACGGGACTCCACTCGGTCTCTCTCTCGCAGGAGAAGAGCAGGAGGCAGAAAAATCAGCGTTTAATAACAGTCTGGGTTGAGATTTGCAGCAGGCTACTGAACAGAGGAGATGCCAGTAGTTTATTGAGTAAAAAGGAAAAGGATTCAGGTAGCAGAACTAAGTCAGCAGGTTAAAGTCATCGCACAGCCCTAGATCGGTTCAGGAGGGGTAGGATGGGGGGAGACCGTAAGGGGAGCAGCTTCAGACTCAAACCTCGGCTTCCACTATCATGTACTGAGAAAAATATTGCATGAAAAGCCTCAGGGTTTTAGTTCTTCCATAGATGTATATTTACCAGTTTTCACACAGACTGCAGGAATACGATTATAAACAATAAATTAGGACTTCATGTTGCTATCATTTGGCATAACACAATCAGGCAAGTCTTCCTTTTCTGTTTTTAAATATAAGGCAACACAAGCCAACACATAATTTAATCCGTCTTTAGTCAAATTGCTTCACTTTGCTAGAAGAGTTCCCACTAAAGAACGGCTCAGAGTACACTTGAAGGGATTTCAGTAATGCCATAAGTGTACTAACTTACGCAAGGAGTCAGGAAACGTACTCTGCTAAGCTCTGAAACCTAAGGAGGTGTTACAGCCCAGGACTACACGTCTAACTTAAAAAAATACAAAGAAATGTCTCCTAATTTCTCCATTTACCCAAAAACTCGGAAAGGATTTCTAGCCAACTAGGACGCCACTTCAAAACTGGTTACTTCTCTTTTTTTTTTTGTTCTTTTTTTTCTGTGTTTTTAACTTTTGTATGATGTCTTTTAAAGATTGGGGTTTGTTTTGTGGGGTTTTTTTCTCTTTGAAACCATGCTCGTGGAGGAAAAGTTCAAGGAGCAAATACTTAAGGCTTTGTTTGTTTCCAAGGGCTGTGAGGGAGGCCAGTGGGCGGCTGAGGCCAAGTGGGTTCACCCATACACAATGCTACTCAAACCCACACTACCAGGCGACATTCATACAGAAATATTACACTTAAAAGTTACAGTGTAGAGCAATAGTTTTTAGCCAGTGTACATATAAAGAATCAATGCATTTAGGGTTTTTTTTATTAATTTTTTCTCTTTTTTTCTCTTTTTTTTTTTTTAATTTCCAAACTTGATTGTGATCATTATGTTCAAGTATTAGTCTCATTAACAGAGATGAGGAATTTTATACTTACAAGAAATCCAGCTGTTAGGAAGGAGAAGGTGTGCTGTGGTAACGCTGAGGGGAACAAGATGCTGAGGTTACTCAGTAGTGTCCTACGGTCACCGACTCGACTAGCTGCTGGAAGTGATGTGGGAAAGGAACAAGAGGAGTTAGGCACCGAGACCCTGGGATAAAGGGATGTTAGAAAGAGCTTTGCTAATCCCCAGGGAGTGGAATTGTTCTGTTAAACCTGCTGTGGTGTTCCGAAGGAGAGGAATATGGGACCACTGGTCCCACGGCGGCTCACGAGCAGAGCTTCACAGCGGTGGGACCGTGCCACACTGCCCTGAGCACTCATTACGTCTCCTCACCCTGAAATTCATTTTAGCTACCAAAAAGCTGAACCCTTTTTGGAGTTGTCAGTGGGTCTGGATGCCTTCACATGAGGACAGCCAGACTCCTAGCAGCGAGGGGTTCAGACAAAGCTAGCTCTTAGGCAAAAAAGGGAGTGGGGAAGGGAAATGCAATGCAGAGAAAAGGCAGCGACCTATGGCAGCTATGCTGCCTCCTAAACCCACCATTCCCCCCCTTCTCCATACCCTGTCTGCAAAAGAAAGAAGCGTCAGAAATACCTGCCGGAGACTTTTGACTTTGGACAAAGTCTAAAATGACAAAGGTGGGCAAGGAAGAGCTGAAGAGCTTCGTCCTGTATTTGTGCCCAAGTACATCCCCGTAGCTAGCTCGTTTCAAACATAGGCTTCTTTTTCAATTAAACAGGCCTTTAGACAGTGCAAATGGTCAATGTTTAATGCATTAATGAAATGGGCTTTCGGCTGAAAATAAGCCCTGCTTCCTGACAAATCCTCTTGCTCTTAATCTTCAGAGGAAACGGAGAAGGAAATTTAAGCAGCTACGCTACCTTGCTCTTGATGGAGCTGGCAAAACCCTGCAGCAACTCAACATCAGTCCAGCAAGGAGCTGCTAAGCAGAAGCTGCACAGAAGGGGGTTCTATGGTGAGGAAAGGGCTGTGGTGTGAAGTAGTGTAATGAAATCCTCTGACACAAAAGGCATGTTAAGTATCTGATACAGAAAGGAGATAGGTAACACGTAAGCAAAGCTTTTAAATATACAGTATGTCATCTTCAGATGGTTACTATAATGATCACACAAGTTTGCAAGTTAAAAATGCCTTGCTTATTCATTAAAATTAAGACTAAACCTCTATGTTTTTTTTTGTCTGTGAAAGTGACTGCAGCCTATCTATACCCTGGGTGTTGAATATGAAGATTTCGACTATCGGTTGGTTCAGGTGCTCGGTTCATGGGAGGCCGATGGACTTTTCCCAGCACGGCCATGCTCTGATCTCTGAAGCAGGACTGCTGGAAGTCCCCACTTAGGTAATCCATGGTCTGCATCACGTTATTCTGGCTGGATGGGCCAGCTCCAGCTCTGTAATGAGTTCCTCCTGCACAATCTAGCGGTGCTCCTGCCGGCTGTCCCCCGTGGAAAGGCATGGCGAGGTCCTGGGACCCAGAGCTGTCACTGTTGGGTGTGGGCAGAATGTTATTCCAGATGGGCTGGAAATAGTGCCCATTGGTATATGGCAAGGGTCCCTGCAACCCGTTCACAGGTGGAGAAGGTGTAGGCTTCTCGATGGGGGGCTTCAAGCTGAAGGACTGGCCCATGCACAGTTCTTGAGGGTAGTTTGAAGTTTTGACAGGGAAGCTCTGCCCGGTGATCTCTCTCTGGGGGTGCTTCCCTGCGAGTCCAGCAGGCCCAGCAGCATCCCCACACATTTGCTGCAGATGTGCAAGCTGGTGCTGGTTCCACGCAACCGATTTGATTTCGTTCTGGTACGCGGGCGGCACCCTGTTAATATTCACCATGGGCACATTAACAGAGGCAGGAGGAATAGCAGCAGCAGCATGATCTACAGGGTTAACTACACAGGAAGGCATGGGTGTAGGGACATTGTGAGTAGATACCCTGGTACTTGCATTGATAAGCAGGTTGCGACTTATAGGGCTGGGGTTTGCAATCTGTCCCTCACACACTGAGGTAGTGCTAATGCCAGCTCTGGCCTGGCAGAACTGGTTAATCTGGTGCACAATGCTGCTCAGGTCCGGTGGCTGGTTCTGCTGCAGGGTGGCAGCCATAGAGAGGGGAATGGTTGAGGTAGACACGGTCACATTCGGCGGCGCGTCTGCATCCGGCATCTTTCTGCTTCCATGTAAACCCGGCTGCAGCAAAGGATTTGGGGGGTGCTGCAGAGTCTGGTGTGCCATGGTCTGAGGATGCTGCAAGCCCTGAGGCTGCTGCATGTTCTGAGGGTGCGGCAGCGCCTGCGGCTGCGGGATCCCCTGAGGGTGCGGTAAGCTTTGTGGCTGGGGTATACCCTGAGGGTGCTGCAAAGTCTGTGGCTGCGGGATACTCTGGGGGTGCTGCAAAGTCTGTGCATGCTGGAGAGCCTGCTGGCGAGCAAGCGCCTGGGGGTGGGTTAAAGTGCTAGGTGCAACGTAAGGGGTGGAAGGGGGATTCATCATCGCTTCCGGCAGCAGACGCGTGCGTGTCCCGTCAAAGTCTTTGATAACTCCTTTTGCTGGAGATTTGACTATCGCCAGGAGGCCCGTTTTGGTGGTGGCCTGAGATGGGTAAGGACTGTACCTCTGGCCCGAAGTATCAAGTCCGTTCACAGTACGGCGTATGTGTTTCCTCTGGGGAACCTTGACACTGTTTGGGAAGATTTTTATAGTCAGTGGGTTGTTGGCGACCTTCTTAGCATAAGCATCCAATTCTGCTGGGGTAGGATACTGTGCAGATCTCATTTTCTGTGTAGTGTCCCCTGTGGAGAAAAGGAAAATCATCAATACCGATCCTGGCAATCAAAGGATCAAGCCCAGGGCAAGACAGTTGCACAACAAGAGTAGAAAGTCTCCAAGGAATCAAGAGGCAAGAACCTCATCTTCCCAGACCAGCGGGTCACGTACCAGATGCCGCGTTCCCTTTATTACCTGGTGACCAACACAAGCCCCAGTTCAGCTTAAGGCAAGACCTGCCAATGGGAGCAAAACAAAACCTGTTTTCATCAGAGTGTGTTTATAGTTGGACAAAAAGAGGTAACGTGCTATGAACACTGGGCTGTCTCCAGCCTGAAGTACTTCTTACAGCTTGTGGTAGTGGCCTACTTTCTAGCTTCTTAATTTAAGGCTGCCTCCCCCATGGCTCTTCAAGCCATGCTCACTATCTTTACCATGTAATTGAAAATCAGGAAGTTATGAATTAAACATTACACCCATATAATGCTGAGGTGGGAACCATACTGTGGTGGGCTGGCCCTGGCTGGACTCCAGGTGCCTGCCAAAGCTGCTCCATCATTCCCCTCCTCAGATGGACAGGGGAGAGAAAACAGGATGAAAGGCTCCTGGGTTGAGGTAAGGACAGGGAGGGATCGCTCAGCAGTTACCATCCCAGGCAAACCAGACTCGACCTGGGGAAATTAGTTTATTACCAATCGAATCAGAGTAGGAAAATGAGAAATAGAAACTAAATCCTCCCCCCCCCAGCCCTCCCTTGCTGCAGGCTCAACTTCACTCCTGATTTTCTCTACCTCCTCGCACCCAGTGGTGCAGGGGAACTGGGGTTGTGGTCAGCTCATTGCACATTGTCTTGCTGCTCCTTCCTCTTCAGGGAAGGACTCCTCACACTCCTCCACTGCTCCAGTGTTGGGGTCCCTTCCCATGGGACACGGTCCTCCATGAACTTCTCCAACACGAGTCAGTCCTACATGCTGCAGCTCTGCATGAACTGCTCCAGCGTGGGTCCCTTCCATGGGGTGCAGTCCCTCCATAACACACTGTTCCAGCCTTGTGTCCCCCACGAGGACACAAGTCCTGCAGCAAACCTGCTCCAGTGTGGGCTTCCCACAGGGTCACAGACTCCTTTGGACATCCCCCTGCCTGGTGTTGAGTCCTCTATGGGCTGCAGGTGGATCTCTGCTCCACCATGGACCTCCATGGGCTGCAGGGCACAGCCTGTCTCACCATGGGCTGTAGGGGAACCTCTGCTCTGGTGCCTGGAGCATCTTCTCCCTCCTTCTGCACTGACCTCAGTGTCTGCAGAGCTGTTAAACTCACATATTCTCACTCCTCTCTGGCTGCAGTTCCGCAGTTTTCCTCCCCTCTTCTGCTGCCACCACCACTGATGGGCTTGGCCTTGCCCAGCAGCGGGTTCCTCTTGTTTCCATCAGGCATAGAGGAAGCTTCTCACAGAAGCTATCCCTGCAGCACCCCCACCCGCTACCAAAACCTTGTGATGGAAGCCCAGCACACATCTGAAGCCTTCAGCTCAAGCCTCCATTTACATCTGAGTTCTTTTCTAGATGCTGACATCTGAAAGCACTTTGAGTGTCTTTTTGTCCATTAGGAAGCCCTTGTCAGTCCAAGTTCAGCAAATGGAAGGAGGCTCCGCATGCATTATTTTATGGCTTGCAATTATTTCTTCAGCATGGCACCCTGCTAAGGACAGCATCCTCATATCACACAGCAATCTGACGTGATACCCTCACAAGATTAAAGATATGCTACTGCCCAGACACAGACAAAAGACTTGTGGAGACAGGGGTGTGGGGTTACTCTGGTTTAGCAGATACCTACCTTACCCACAAGCTCCAACTGCTGCTGGAAAGAACTTTAGACATGTAGGGAAATGCTTGTGCCTCTCCTGCTATAATCATATTCCAGGCAGAGCTGGGCCATTCCACCTCTGCTTCTCTTAAATGACTGCCTCCAAAAGACTTGTGAATACATGAGCACCAGGCATTTCTCTCTGCATCCGGCAGCTTCCAGTCATCACAGGTGAGGGAGAGCAGCACTGCTCTAAGAGCACTCACTTTCAGAAAGTTAAAGGTCAGAAAATGGATACCCAAAGAAAGGATAATTATAGAAATGTTAGAAGTGTCTTTAGTGACATAAGCAGCTTTGCAAGCAGGTTGTCCTGCAGCTCTAGCACAGCACGTACCACAGCACCAGTTGTATGTACTCCTACTCCCTGTGCTGTCCAAACACCAGCATCCACCACCCTTTCTCTTCATCAAAGGAAATGCTCGTTTGATATCAACCTGAAGGTCCCCTCTGTTCATATCCCTGTACCTGTCGCTGCAGGCAGGTGGTTTATATCTATCCTTTTGAGTGAGCTCCCAGTGGAGAGAAGAGCTTCGGAATGGCATTTACCTTCCCTCAAAGGCAAAGCCTTCATGAACTCCCAACCTTTCATTCTTAGCACTGTCCATGCTCATAAAGTTCTGTTTCTTCCCCAAGAGATGACCCTTGCAACTCACCATCAGAGGAGAACCACTGACAACAGACAAAGGAGCCCACGTTTGTCTGTGTAATGGTTCACGTTATGCTCGCAGCACTGTCACATAAAGCTTTTCTTTTCAGATGAAAAATTATGCAGCCACTTTAGGACACCTTCACCACCAAAATTTCTCAGCCTGGTTTACATTTCTATAGGCATATTATCAAATGAGGTGGGAAACAATAAACAGATACACTAAATATCCCTTTACTCAAGGACCTATTCTGTTATACAAACTACGACGGAAGCTTTTAGAAAGCAGCTGAAACGTCAATGTCTGAACAGGCTGCAGCTATCAGTTGCAACACATCTGTAATCCCAAATCTGGAAGTGCTCCCTTCCTCTGATGAGAGAAAATAACCCCTCAGTTAAACTTAAATGACGCACTAACATCAAGTTTGGCATCCTACCACATGGCAAACCAGCTTTTAAATCCCATTCATCACTTCTAACAGCACCCGTTTTGCGTACAGCTGAGATTATGCTCCTTTTACTATCAAGTAACTCAGCCATTCTACTCAGGCCTGAAGGTGATGCATTTCTGAGTGCCCCAAAGTGCTGCTTAAAATGTGCTTTGCTAGTAGGTCCACAGGCAAGATTCAATGACTGTAATAATTAAGACAGCAAAAAAATAGGAGAAAGGCATTATGGGGTGAGCAAGAGTCTGAGTTTCCCTACAAATACCCTACAAACCAGTAAAAATGAAGTAGGTCTGGTAACTAAGTCAACGGAAAACCAGCTAGAACAGACCAAACCAAAATGCTGGTACTAGAATACGCTCATCATTCGTGTGCAAGAATTCAGGCCATAAAATGATGAGGTGGATGGCAGATAAGGAACTACATTACAAAAACAAAGGGATGAGCTCCACAAAGCTACCTAATGGTAAATGCCGGGCAGAATACTTTCGTTGGAAAGTAATTATTTCACGTGTATTGTAAGGGAAAGCTGTGTATGTGAGCAATTACCCCAGTAAATTGGTGAGCTGCAGGTTCACACTCCTGCTAATCCCGTGGCAACCAACTCATCTGGTCACAGCCCTGCGCGCCTCTCACCGCTGGAGCTATTTTTATCATGAAATGAGATTTCTCTGCCTCACCTCAGCACCAATGTAACGTCTTTTAAGTGCATTTCACAAGAAGGCTTTAAACCCCACTGCTTTTAAAAGTGCCTGCGGTTAAATCTTCATTACCATTAAACAACATACAAACAGGCTTTCAGGATCCCTACCCTAACGAGAACATCCGCGCTTGGACGAGCCAAAACCCGCTGTGCCCATCTTCTGCATGAAAATCTCAGCTGCTACAGGGTTTACAGAAACAGACCTCACCCCTAGAAAGGGCTCGTTTTGGTGATGACCCCAGATTCAGTGCCAACCTGCTCTTTCCTCTCCTGTCCATCCATCCATCCATCTATCTCATCCCCGTCAACAAGAGCTCTCCGAGAAGCACCTTTCACCTTGACTTTACAGCACTGTTGTAAAAACCACCCTTTCTTACTCAGACCTTGCATCACTGCTTCTATATCCCACAGCAACTCCAGAAACTGCCCAAACAGTCTTGAGTATCCTGACTGACTGGTCAGGTTTCTCCTGGAGTCCCTGAGAAACCGCCTGTGTGGATAAGGATGAATTTCAGGGGGAGCCTTTCCTGTGATGCAGGCTGGAATTCGAAGCAAAACACTGGAATTGGAAGTGTTGTAGTGATCAGTTTGAAAGGAAAAAATATGTGCATATTAAACCTCTAAACTCCCACTGCAGAGACCAGCTTTAAGAAGAAAGCCTCTTATTTGAAAGTGAGGAGAGAAAAAAAAAAGGCTAACTGAGCTAATGTGGATTTTGAAGCATTAATAAAAAGTCTAATCTGGAAAACTACACTTAAAAATTATGAATACAAACACTGTAAATCTGAATAAAGGTTATCATGCGGAATTCTGTGCCTTTCATAAAGGCAATAGCATTATTATTAAAGCCCCCTTCCAACCCCCCAAAGTCACAAGTCACTGTTCATTAAAAAATGCTCATTAAGTCAGCTCTGCTTTGGCCAGGGGCTAGGCTGCTTGTGCATATACAGCGTGGAGAGAAATGCACCAATTAATCTTACACACATCTGCAGCAGGGGTGAGCGAGGTCTGTAAAAGCAGTTTCATTTTCCATATAAATCAGAACAAACTGGAACAGCTGAGCATTCCCCCACTGCCTGCCAGCTACTTTATGTCCCCAATTCTTTCAAATGCAGTACCCGGAGCTCTTCCCGAAGCAGGATACAGAGATGCTTTCAGCACAGGGATAAGCAGTTCTCAGTAACAGCATCAGGTACCATCAGGTACCATCAGGTTAAGAAACTGCCCACGTATCGGCATGTTGCCTTGTAAAGGTGTAATTAGCAAATACCTGATTTATGCACAGCTACCCTCACATGAACCCCGACAATTTGCTTTCAGAACTAAGCTTTCTGATCCACCAAAAGAAACTTCATGTGATGCAAGGACCTCGACACGTTTCCACCACAACAGCCTACCTTTTGAATAAGCATCGGTCAGCAAAGCTTGAACTGGAAATGGGAAAGAGAAAGGAGAGGTGCCCAGTTTCATGCCACCTAAGGAAGTCCTTCTGTGAGTAAAGATTTTTACTTATTGCTGGAAGTGTCATTACAATTACCAAGCCTGTGGAGTTGGCATAAATGCTATGCAAGTGCTGAGGGGGAGCACACGCGGACATGAACAGTGTCATTCACTTCTGGCAGGATCAGGACTTTGAGCATGGCACCTTCATTGCAAAATTATCTTATCTATTTTCATCACAAGTCTTTAAATACTAATACTTTAGTTACAACTGGACTGTAAACTGCTTGGGTTTTAAGGAGCAATGAGTCCATCAGCAAACTGAGGGTACAGAGATCTCCCAGTGTACATACCAAACAGGACAGGCAGGTCACAGCCCTAAGAGCCAAGTGTACAGATCTTATGTAGAAACCCTGGTATTTCTGCAATTTCAGCTGAACAATCAATGTGCAAAACAGGAGAGACAGAGTAAGATTTAACACAAATCTCTAGCCAGTGACCTTACATTCCCAAGCATAAGTTGCTCTAAAAACCACCACTATACCCATCAAAAAAATGACTGGAGGTATCAAAAAAGGATTCTCAGAGAACTCTGCAGACATCTTTTCAGAGGCACCAAAGAGACATCAGAAAGAAGACGGAAACTTTGAACTTTAGTAATTTGGGCTAGATCACTAATATTTGCAGTATATGCCCCAGGTGTGTAGAACAACAGAGCTGCTGACCTCAAAAGGTTTGCATTAGCCTGATCCAACTTTTATTGGTTTCTAGGAGTAATTAAACGACTGGAAGTGAAAAAGAGTCAGGAAAAAGTTGTGTGAAGGAGCAAGTCAGCTGGCACACTTTTAGCACAAAATGTTTTCAGCAAAGAGGCACGAATCTCACAGAAACCTCACTTGCATTTCATCTTGCTGTGGTTAAAATTAACCTTTATAAAGCCAGGAAAGGCGGTTGGGGGGGGAGAGCTTGCTGCACACACATGAACCTCCACAGCCATTTCTCAGAGCCATTATTGATGGATGCCTTGAAGGCATAACAAAAGAAAGACTCTAACATTAAATAGTTTTTCCACTGTACCCTAAATGTTTATGTCAGAGCTGTACCAGAGCCAGATTTAACAGTTAACCACATCCTGCAGACAAAACGTCACTCACATTTCTGAAGTCCAGTGTTCATCTGCGTGTAAGAAAGAAGCTGAAAGGAGAGGTCACCTGGTCCTGGCAGACAGGCCAGCATGGCAGACAGGCACTAACACAACATGGGGCATTCACTCCTCTGCACACTGCAACAACAGAGAGACAATTCAAAGTTATAATACAAGGAGGAACAGAGAAAAGAAAGCGGCAAAGAGCCATCCCTGGGTGAAGGCCTGACCAAGCACAGATGCGCAACCGCTGCTCCAGTCCTTCCTGCATCTCGTAACGGCAATGGCCATGCTTCAAGAAGTGGGTCACCTGCAGGGTTATAACTAAAATAGCTGTCTCACTCTCCTCTGCTGCTTGACACACAGAGGAGAACCCATAACTCCACCCTCACGTTTCAAAGGTGGTTGTTACGAATGGTACAGAAACCACCATCACTCATTTGCGCTGTATTGAAATGTGCTGGCTACCCACCAAGCGTAGCCAAAGCAAGTCCTCTGGAGAAACCCTGTCAACTGCTCTTTTACATTTAATAAAAAGGCACGGCATGCATAAATTGAAGGCAAAGTATGCAGCACTCTGCCTCGTGGCAAGATTAAGCTGCATGCTACAGCTTGTAATTTCTGTGGTCCATTAGGCTGGAAGATGAATGGCTACAACTTCCTTCATTTCATAGGAGACTCACTAACCTGGGTTAGACAAACAGCCAGACGTGCCTCCTGCACAAAGCAGCTGCAGAGGTGCCACCAGCCTCTGCTGCAGAGGGTCAGCATTGAGGAAATCAAACCTCAAAACAGATGCACAGAGCACTAAAGCTCTTCTATATATAAACACTGCACGGCTGCCCTCATATCCCATCATCGGTGTACAAAGAGGGGGGGGTGTCTCTCAACAAACCTCATGCAGGCTCAAAGACTCCCAGCTAGAATCATGGAGAGGTATTTAAGGTGGAACAAGGTCTCAAGAGGCCTCCTGGTCCAGAACCCTCTGCCACAGCCACAGGGACAAACCACAGCCGGCCACAAGCACTTTAGAAAGCTCTGGGGAACAGGGTGGCTGAGCCAAACTGGAGAAATCAATTGACTTCTCTTCTGTGCCTCAGCACTGGTGCTGCTCTAAAGGGAGTACTTTTGCCAAAACACCTGAGGAACAGCTAGAAAGGCCTTGGGGTTTGTTCTATGACCCCCAAGACACAGCAGGAGTTGAAAGCTTCAAAAGTCATAGGCTGATTTAATTCCAGTCATGTTCACAGACCCCAATTCAAGCAACTGGGGAGGCATTCAAAGACCAGAAGATGAGAAACAGAAAGCTCCCGACTGGTGTGAGAAGCCACAGAGGCCACTTCTGAGTCACACTGCTGAGGACTGCACAAAGAACATAAACCCTTCAGATGACACCTGGTGAGGCAAAGTCCACGCTGTGTCCTGGACAGCCCCACCACCTCCATGCTCCAGAAAGCTCCAGAATCAGACTTCTCTACGGGGATGTTTTAATGACTTTCATTTGAAACTCAACCTCAGACCACCCAAGGACCACTTGCACCAGTGCAGCAAACAGCACGGACTTAAAGCTTTCCTGTAGCACAGCAATTACTCGCTGTGTAGAATTCATTAGCTCCATGTTTACATCCTTGGTTCAACATGCAAAGGTTGATTAAACCAACGGCCAACAAAACCTCACACAAACATTAATTTATGAGGACTTCTGCATCTTCCCTGTGTGAGAGCTCTCAGAAGCTGAGTGTTGCTAAGTGAGCCCGCTGGGTGCCACTGAGACTAACAATTAAAAATAGGTTTGGGCACTGAATGTCAGCTTGACAACTCCAAGCTATTGCCCATTCACCCTTCCCACTCAGAGTAACAGTGACTCAGGGCTGTGAGAAACAAACACACAACCTCAGCAAGCTGCAGGGTCGACAGCTCAACCACCAACATGTTTACATCATTCTCCATTTCATTCCTAGGAGATAGCAACGATCTCCACTACCACAAGTTGAAGATATGTAGCTGTAAAACCTTGTAAGGTAGATCTAAACCCAGGTTTTCTTTTCATCCTCTGTAGGAGGTGGAGTTGTTGGAGTCTTTCAGGTGCTCAGAAACGATGACTGAAGACCTGTCACATCCACAACTTGAAGGAATCACTTTAGGAATTGAAAAGTTGGTCAGCCTTTACACATGAGATTCATTTACCACTCTGAGTATGCAGTGTTCAGTGAAACTCTGCAAACAGCCAGTGGGCAGCAGTTTCTTGTCCCAGATCATGCCCAGCATGACCAAAAAGACAAAATGAGAAGCCAGCTCCTTTTTAATCAGAAGACAAAAGCACTGCATGTTGCCAGAGCTTTACCTGAGGAGGCAACAGAAACGCTTGCAGTCAGCAAGAAAAAAGAGTCACTGTGTTTTCCTTTTTGCTTCATTTCATCAGCTTCAGAAGACTGGCAAAAACAAGACCTATTTCTCAGTGAAAAGCAGACAAACAAAATTAAGAGCCTTCCCTGGAGTCAGCAAACCATCAGGTCACACCATTCTCTAATACTCACCTAATATTCATACTCACCTAAACATCTACCTTTTCCTCCAGTTAACATCTGATGCCAGGCCAGGATTACTTCCCATCCCTGCACAACCAAAGCAGCTCGGTGTCTACATTACTTAACTGGTGACAAGTTTCCATGCAGCCCCAACAGAGGGAAACAGCACTGCACTCAACGTGCTCTTTGACTGAACAAGCAGCATTTCTGACAGCAAGATCCTCGTGGGTTTGCTCACCTGCTCCATCATTAAGGCTCTTTACAGCCTCAACACTGTGGCTCTTGGAGTAAGCCTCTTGCTGAGAGGCTCAGCGCCACAGACACAGCAATAAACACAATAATAGCACATTAGGAGAGAGAACAAGTGATTAAAGAGTGGCCACAGCATTCAACTCAGAAGAGCTGGGCTTCTGTGATAAGACACAAGTATTTCCTTGAAGGTCAAAACATGTATTTACAGGAGCTTTAGCTCCAATACAGACAATAATGTTTTAGAGAGGGTTATAAAGGCAACTTGTTCCTGCAGACAGATAATCATTTTAGTTCGTAAGGACTGGGGTGGCAATAATAATTCTAAAGAAAATACTAGACTTATTAACTTTAAGTAGAAGCATAACATCATTCTTTTAGCTTGATCTGCAATAGGCAAATCGATGCCACCTAGGTCACTGCCAAGCATTTAAAACAGAAATCCAGACTGCTATAGAAGTGCTGACCTTAACTCCATCACTGAATCCCGTAATTAAAACCCTGCTCCAATTTCGGTTTTCTATGAAATTAATGTGTTTTCCAAAATCAAGATCTCAGTATTTGAAATGTCTTCACAAACAAGCCCGTTCAGTTTTTTTTTGTAAGAAATTATTTGACATATATTCCCTTTGAGATACTCAGCACCTGATTGCTGCTTTCTCACTGGCTCTTCTTCAGCACGAGCTAACACAGACAACTCCAACATACCATGCAGATAACATGAACTGAAATCCCCCCATCGTGCCTGAGATTGAGGTGAGCACTAATGGGCGTCTCAAACAGTTGATACAGTCTCAGGTCAACAGGGGTCTTCACGTGAAGGGAGGAGCTTGGCTTTATTGCTTCTAATTAGTCCAGAGTAGGAGATAAACTGGACTTGGCACATCAAGACCTCTCACCAGTAAACTTCCCTTCACAGCAGCAACTTGTGTGGGCACCAGCACCTGCAAAGCTGCCCCAGTCCTTCCAAGGACGGGTGGATGTTATTGGGGGAACTGGAATGGATGTAAGGAATTAGGAACCACGGGGGTTTTGCACTGTACCAGGCTCAGTAAACCAGTCAGCTGCAAACTGGAAAGCAAGACCAGTAGGCTTTGGCACCCAGCAAAATATGGCAGCTGTGAAACCCTTACCTTTGTATTTTAAACTGATTGTGTATGCTGCCAAACACAGCCCAACGAGCTCTGTCTTGAAACTATATATAAAGTAGATTTCTGGAGGAAACAATCATTAGATGGAATAAATAAATAAATACCCTGCTTTGAAGTGATTTTAATCTAATTTGGCTGCAGGATAGAATTTTAACAGCTCACGTACTGCAGGATGCTCTATGAAATAGTTAGCAGGTTTAGACACATGAACAGGGTTGTTTTTTTTTTCCCTTCTAAGATTTATTAATCATCAAATCAAAGCATGTTAAGCTTAAAAGGGATGTGCAGTGCTTGGGATTTGGGGGTCACTCTCACTTCCCCGCAATGACTGTTACGTTCAGCCTTACCTGCACATCAGGGTCCAGGCAGCAATGTCCCATGCACTGGTTTTCAGAGTAAGTCCTGTCACCACCAATGTTCACCAGGCAGGACAAAGAATTCACCTCCACCCATTGCCCAGGGACACCCTCCCTGTAGAGCTAAGAATCAATTACAGTAAAATTTACCATGATATTGCTTTTCTGGACTAAAAAGACATATTCTTTTCTGCCTGATATTCAACGTGTAGCATCGCTTCTGCCAGAGCCACTGCTCCCCAGGCCAGGGGGTACTTTTACAAGCTAGAGTAAAACCTAGGTATAGAGCAACGTGGTACTCTTAGGAAACTTCTAACACAGCTTTATCATTATATAAACAGACCACATATGCAGAGCTCTTGCCAAGTTTTAGCTACGCCAGTCTCTGAAGCTCCCAAGAGGCCTTACAGGGTAAGCACACAATGGAAACACTCCCTGTAAACCACCCTGGACCGGTGAAATATGGGAAGCTGAGCTGGTTGAGAGGAAAGCAGGCTGCTGAAGTCTAAAGTTAGGCCCTGAACGTAAACATGCATGTTTGAAATTCCACCATTAACTGCAGGAATTGTTGACAAAGCCTGGGGCCGGGAGGAAGCAGGAGCAGCCACCTCCACACAAAAGCAAAGCTCCAAACTATTCCAAGTTTCCAGCACCCTGGGGTCCCATAAGCCATGTGAGGGTTGTTAAGCACTTGGAGCTGGTTGATACACTTCACTTCTCCTTATTCCCAAGGGAGTTCCATGTAGTTCCATGACCGCCAGCGGGATTTACAGCGCATGTGGCACGTTCCAAGTTCAGCATAACATAAATGCTGCAAACAAAAACCAAAACTAACTCTGGTTGTGAAGCTGCTTTGGTACAAATGTCTGTTAGAGCTTGCCAGGAAACATAATTGAATCCTGGCCAATTTTCATGCTCCAAGGGAAACTCAGTGTCTCATTTACCCCCTGGCAGGCTGCTCAAAACCAAATGAGGCTCATTCCTCTTCCCTCTCCTGAAGTAACCTAAAATCTAAGGGGTTCAAGAAGCTGTTTGTGTGACCTGCACATGCTGAACCCCCATGGCCAACCACAGCGTTCGATATGACTCCTTCCAGTCAGTCATGCCTCAACGGACAGATCCCACAGGCTTCCTGCCTTAAAACTCCCCCTTTATTCATGGGCAGTTCCCAGCATGGCCCTTTCCCAGGATTGCTGAAAAGCCAGAGATAAATCTTACTGTTTCCTGGAACAAAATTACCAGACTAGCCCTGTATTCATCACAGGCTGGTATCACATCCTCTTTAATGTTTTATAAATGGAAAACTGCAAAATAATGTGCACAGAGGTAGTCTTTTGAGATGGCAATAAATCACAAGAGCATTGAGTGTACTTGGGGAGAAATAAATAGGAAGAATGAACAATAGAAAGTCGCCTTCTGTGACAAGCAGAATGCACTGTCAGCATCTGCCAGCACAGGACCTCTTGGCTTTCTGCATTCAGATGGACCTTTGCTAGAGTTTCCATCAAAATCAATTTTGGCTCCTTGCAGTTTAATTAACTATGATTTTGCTTGTAAACCGTTTCAGCTTTCAGGCTGACCTCCATTTATAATGTTAGGCAGGCAACAAAATTAAACAGTTTGGAGGGGAAGGCAGAGGGAATTTAAATGTCTGTGGGGTGCTCTGGGAGAGGGGAGGCTCCTGCTGCAGCTCTGCTCCTCTCCCCAAGCTGCGATGCCAGCGCTCAACAAGGAAAGAAATGAAGCAGCTTTGGGGCAACAGCACTTAAAATGGAATATTGTTCATATCACACTCCTCATGGCCAAGGGCTACCACTAAAGGCTTCTAGGTGAGCAATTTTGAACAGGATGTTGTGCAGTAACAAAAGCCGAGGCGGCGGCTCCAGGCTCCAGGTATTGCCACGTGTGGCATCAGCTCCATCAAATTCCCTCTTTGCATAAAGCTGCAGCAAGCTCAAGGTTATGATCTTTGCGTTTAAAAAGCCTGGGGTTTTTTTTAGGTCAGTCCCAAGAGATTGTTTTAAAACACAGTCCTACGCATCTGCTGAAGAGGAGAACAGTTGGCTTGAACTGTAAGATGGATTTTTACATAGCTTCTGACCTTTCATCTAATTGAGGCCTAAAGAAGAAGGAGAAAAGAGGAAAAGCGATACGTCACTTCAGTTATTAAAATCCATCAAGCTCAGACTTTAGCCTTGGGATAACCACAGCCAAAAAATTGACTCGCAAGTAATTATCACTGCTATCTGCAATAAAAGTTAATTGGACATAATTGAACTAAAGCCCTAATCTGAATGAAGCTGTTGCTGGCAAGCAGCCTGCTCCTGCCTGCACTCTGCAAATGGAACTGCTAGCAGTAAAATGGACAAACACGAGCCTGCTTTTACAGCACATCACAGCAGTTCTGCAAACAGCTCTTTAACTGGGCCAAGACAAAGCCATTAAGAGGGCTTGTCCTCACCAAGCACACCCTGCGACGCTCCCCAAAGCTTCAAAACCAAGTTTCAGTTTTACTGACCTCTTTCATTACATGGCCTGAGACGTAAGATTCATGTCATGAGATGCTGGTTTCATCAGCTCCCCGGCGCTGCGAAGAGCAGTACAAATAACGTGCTTTTCGAGCACATAAAGATACCAACTCGGTTTGCAGTGCTGATAATTTACCACCTTCATGCAGTTCAATAGCCTTTCCTGTTGCAGGACCAGCTTCTTTCATCTCCTCAGCAGAGCAGACAATTAGCTGCTTTCTCTCCTCAGCCCATGCAGGTGGCTGGGGGAAGGGAGCGTTAAACTGAATTCCTGCTGATTTGTGCATTTATGTTTTGCATTTTTGTTAACTAACAGACCAGAAAGCAGTCGTCATCCCCACATACTACTTTAGAACTTCCTTCCAATTTTAATTATTAACACTCTGCCCTTCACC